CAATTTTGATGACGACGTTGATGCCGCTTTTAAACCACCGAATTCTCAGCAATGCCGAAAAAAAATAAGCTTCGCCTAGCTGACGAGTACTTTGCAAATATGAGAGAGAAGAACTTAAATAATAAACCAAATGTAAGAGAGGAAGGAAGATAAACATTTCTGTTAATCTCTATCAGGGTGTTTCAGTTTATTGTTGCATAACTTTAAGATTCGATAGAACTTTTAAAATTAATGGATAAAGTCAATATAAACATGGGTCGAAAAATGCGTGGCTTCCGAAATACAGGGTATTTAAATTTACTTTCTAAAATAGTTTTTTTTAAATATTTCGAACAATATTTGATGTATAACAGTGAAAATTCGTATACAAGGGTTTTTTTGGTACGACAAAACGAACCATGGGCATATTTTTACTGTAGCCGCTAGAGGGCGCTCTCTACTGTACCTGTAGTGTATTAAAATGACCGAAAAAATTTTCTTAGTGCAATTTTTTGCTTTTTGAATAAAAAAACTGATTCGTCGCACTTTTCTGCATAAAAAAGCTCTCCTGTGAATTTTCGTTATAGTTAGCCGTTTTTGAGATATTTCATTTTCATTTTTAATTATTTATGGGAAAATAATATTTTTTTTACATTTTCGATTTGGGCATTACAAGTAATTAAGATCATCGTTTAGATCGTGTTTTTAAACACAGCAATAATTCCTTACTCCAAATAAACACAAAAAAACAGAATATTATTTTTTTTAATTTTCCAATATTATTTTTAACAAATTAAATTAATTATTTACAACTAAAATGTTATTGGATAGTTAGGACAAACATACAAAATCTAAAGTAGTTGCTCGAAATGTAAACCCAATTGTTCAATACACAATTCACATCTACGAATGATCGAACGTGGTATAGCATTATTCAAATAAGGCCTTATTTCAATTTAATCACCCTGTATTTCGGAAGCCACGCATTTTTCGACCCATGTTTATATAGACTTTATGCATTAATTTTAAAAGTTCTATCGAATATTAAAGTTATGCAACAATAAACTGAAACACCCTGTAGAGATATAAAGAAAGTGCCAGCAAACATGCGACTAAAACTGAAGATTGACATATATAACCTCATCTTTGAAAGACAGTCTACACAACAGCAAGCACCGCCGCAGATGTCAAATGTTGATTATCTTGTAGAGCCGTCAACCTTAAGGAGTTATTTCCACGCATCACTTGGTCAACAATATAGCTTGCCCCACCCGGGGTATTAACAAAATTCCAATACGTATGACACTCGGTTATACAAATAGCTCCATAACCATCAAACGTATCCTAACACCGAACAATTGCAAGCAGTGACATCGGTACCGACACCATAGCCGTCTGCTTCAACTAATGTTAGTGAAAATCCTAAAGATTCATCTGAACTTGACTTGTTCGTAAATAGTGACACATACTGATCAAAATTACCTTTTGTTTTGTTTTGATTAAGGAATTTATTCGGTTTTGATTATCAATGAATTTTGGTTTATTGCATAGTATTTAGTTATACAAATATTATAAGCTTGTATTTATAAAATAACAATAAAACATTTTAAAGACTTACCTTAGTGTAACAATGAGTTTTTCTTCTGGTGAAATGCAATACCTTACTGCATTTGCATCTACTTCAATATCATCCCTAATGATGGACAGTAAGTTATCAAACGATTTTATTGACACCCTAAAGTAATTGAAAAATTTAGGTTCATGCTTTCGAAGGCTAGGATACAGTGTAAGGTATAAATTTGTAGAAAGCCTATCCCTTAAAATTGGGCAAAACCAGTATCTCTTTTCCCTAATACGACGTTTACTTCTTGTATATGCTAACCACATCGATTCTCGTTGATTAAACACAATAAACTGACACTCGATCACCTAGTCTCGCTCTATTTAAAAGTTGTACGACACCGACACAACAAACATGTGCAATGTCGACGGGCGTCATCTGAACTAAGCCTTATGCACAGGGAGCATATGACAGTTTTGAAGACCTCAAATTGAACATAGTAACATAGTTTTCAAAACCGAGAAGAAGACAAATAAACCGAGCAGTGAACAATGTAGAGAGAATAGTCAGGCTTTGCCTACAAAATTTATGATTATGGTTATTACCATCTAAAAATGTTTCATTTTGTGTTCAGGTTTCACCATACTTTTTTCCTTATAATTTTCGTTCCAACAACAAACTCATAGCCAACTAAGGAAATACTTCACTGAATTTAGGACCGAAAAATTCATTTAAAAGTACAAAATTCCAATATAGGATCCATATGAAAAACAACGTTGATGATGGTAAATGAACGAAGAAACCTCGAATTGAAAATTTTATTACGCCATCTTATAGAGGAGAAAAAGTGGCAATAACAATATACAATTTATTTTGAAATCCCATCTCAAATAAAGTCAGGAAAAGGTAGAAATGATTCGGCGATAAATCTAACAGTGAGTAGATCTGATCAAAAGAAATGTTTTTTCCTTTACCATTTTTCTGGTAAAATTAAAGTAACAAAGTTATAGCCCTTTGGAAGTTTGAGTACCGCCCTGTCTCAATAATGATATTATGTTCTCGTGTTTGGCAACAACAGATATAATCCGCCTTATCCGTTCATCGCATCGGAAACAAAAAAGCCAAAAGAATTTGGAACGATCTTTTTACAATTATTTTCTTCAGTTGTATACAGTCAGTATCAGTCGGTAGTCAGTAACGCGTAAGTGAATAATCGTGTCTGTTGCGAGGCTCAAATCAAAAATGGCACATGTTTACGAAAATGCTGAACTTGTGGACATGGTTCTTATTTACGGGGAGTCTTTACAAAATGCTGCCGCGGCATCACGGATCTATGCGGATCGGTTTCCCAATCGAGTGCAACCAACCCCTCGTGCCTTTGTTAATGTAGTGCAAAGAGCTCGTGAATCAGGTGACTTAAGACCTCACAGAGGAGATCATGCCGGTGCTCCAAGACCACACGATCAAATAGAACTAGAAGAACAAATTTTAGAATTAGTAAGTGATGATCCAACAGTAAGCACCCGACAAATTTCAACTCAATTGGCGATTAGTCAGTATAAAACTTGGAAAACTCTACGTGAAAATCAGTTCTATCCGTTTCACATACAAAAAGTGCAGGCCTTACAACCGGAAGATCATGAACAAAGGGTTGACTTTTGCAATTGGCTTTTAAATAAACATCAAAATGATGGCAATTTTTTAAATCAAATTTTAGTGAGTGATGAAGCCCTCTTTACTAGAAACGGAATTATTAATTCACGTAATTCTCACGTTTGGGCTATTGAAAATCCCCATGAAATAAGGGAAACCAATTTTCAACAGCGATTTGAACCAATCAACCTGTGGGCGGGAATTGTTAATGGAATTTTAGTGGGGCCTTTTGAATTACCAAATCGCTTAACTGGTGAAAATTATTTTGATTTCTTGCAACACAATTTGCCTGGTTTACTGGAAGATGTGCCTTTAAATATTAGACAAAACATGTGGTTTTTACAAGATGGCGCACCACCCCATTATGCAAGAAATGTGCGTGAATTTTTAAATAGACAATTTAATAATCGTTGGATCGGCCGTGGCGGTTTTGTACCTTGGCCGCCAAGGTCTCCGGACTTAAATCCTTTTGACTTTTGTTTGTGGGGTTGGCTAAAAACTCTAGTGTATAAAACACCGGTTAATACACGCGAAGAATTACGTGCTCGAATTGAGGAAATGAGTACAGTGATCAGAAATCAACCAGTGATTTTATTGAGTGCTTGTAAAGAGACATGGCTAAGACGCGCCCAGCTGTGCGTCGAGAAAAACGGAAATCATTTCGAACAGTTTTTGTGACATACTTTTGGGAGCACAGGTCCGCACTGAAATACTTGTCGGGAGGATACTTTATAAAACAAGGTAACATTTTTTTTTTAATTTTTTTTTATTTTTACACACATATTTTGGTTTATCTTCCTTCTACAATCATTATCTGAAAATTAATGACTCAACACAAATGTCTATCAGATAATTTCATAGCCTAAATTGGGTTGTTGTTTTTTTTTAAATAACTAATGTTTGGTAATGTCAATATACGACATATTTTTCAATTTTGGAATCAGAATTAAAAATTCTATTCCCCAAACAATTCAATATGGCGTCCTTAACCTCTTCAAGGATTATTTTTTCAACAAAAAATTAAAACGCCGAATAAAATGAATTAGATACTTAAATAACATTTAAAAGTTATAATCAATGTTATTTTGAAATATGTATATATACAGGGTAACTTTGAAGTTGAGTCATTAATTTTCAGATAATGATTGTAGAAGGAAGATAAACCAAAATATGTGTGTAAAAATAAAAAAAAATTAAAAAAAAATTTTACCTTGTTTTATAAAGTATCCTCCCGACAAGGATTTCAGTGCGGACCTGTATTTGAACGTGAGGTCTTGGAGCACCGGCATGCCGTCCATATGTGAGGTCTTAAGTCAAATGATTCACGAACCCGTTGTACTACATTAACAAAGGCACGAGGGGTTGGTTGCACTCGATTGGGAAACCGATCCGCATAAACATGTGCCATTTTTTATTTCGTTTGAGCCACGCAACAGACACAACTATCCACTACCGACTGACACTGACTGTATACAACTGAATGAAATAATTGTAAAAACATCGTTCCAAATTCTTTCGCTTTTTTGTTTCCGATGCGATGAACCGATAAGGCGAATTATATCCGTTGTCGCCAAACACGAGCACATAATATTATTATTGAGACAGGGTGGTACTCAAACTTCCAAAGGGCTATAACTTTGTTACTTTAATTTTACCAGAAAAATGGTAAAGGAAAAAAACATTTCTTTTGATCAGATCTACTCACTGTTATAATAAATGACTCAACTTCGAAGTCACCCTGTATATATATATATATATGTTCGGCTTGGCCTTTGATAATAATCATAATGAAAAATATGATTTTCAGGGCAAGATGGAGAGAAAATCGCACAATTTTCAATACACCGAACCCACGCTTGATGAATGCGTCTTTGTTGAAGGAAAAGCACCATGATCGGCGAGGATCGAAAGTCAGTCGTGGCCCTAGTAGACAGCCCAGTATGGGTTCGCTAAGGCCGAACTCGCCCAACTCACAAGGTATTCCTTACAAAATATTAATATAATAATACTATGGGATAACATAGTTCATCCGGATGCTACACAATTAGAGCTACAAGAAATATTTACTAGACGTTATCAAAGTTGTTCAGAAGGGTTTAAAAAAATGTATCTACTTATCCTATAGGTGTAGCTAGCAGTATTTAAAGAAATATAAGACAAAAGTGAAAAAATAGGAAAAATATAACATATAAGATGACGTATCTTCTAGTTAAAAAAGACACTTGAAGATACACTTGAATATGGAAAATACTATGATGATAATTTTTAAAGTGCTAAACTAGCTTGATAAATAACTCACAATTCTCAGGAATCAGAACTGACATGCTCTGGGAGAGGTCTCAGAACTCGCATGCCTCTTGGGAGATCTTACAACTGGCTTATATCCCCTACTTACGTATTCATTCATCAATTTCGTCCCCTCGAATTTCAGCTTGCTAACTTGAGACGTTCAAAAACTAACTGCGGGGGCATTTTGAAAGGCACGGCTTATATATTTAGAATGATTAGCTTCCCTCGTTGTTACTTTGTCACTTTACTGTTCAAATAATTCGATGATTCTTTGAGAGAGTAAATATAGTTGTTTTATTGATTAATAGAGAAAATAGAGAACACCGTCCAAAATATTTTCGCGAAACAGCTAAAGTAAATGGAATAGTAGGAAACACAAAAAATACAGCAACACTATTAAACCAGCAATATATAAATTCAGAGGAGTCTAGACAAATGTACAAATTAGAGATTTTTTAAACTGAAGGTTTTCTGAACCGCCTAAGGCTAGTCCAACTGGGAAAAATCTCCTCAGAAAGATTGTTCCACAATCTCGGTACCCTAGGGACAATGGAGCGGTCGCAGATACCAGTTCTGGATGTATGAAGTTCGACATGGTTAGGATGGGAGTTCAAAGTCAAGCGGGTCTGTCTGGTAGGCACATCGCGCGAGTTAAATTCTCGAAGCCAGGATTTTACTTTTAAAAAAATATTTATTTGAGTATCGACCGACTATTACAAAGATGAGTTATGAACTGAACTGATTAACAAATGAATAAAACCAAGTAAACCAAAAATGTCTATGTTGCATTTCCGGTAAAGGTGAACGCCGTTCGTGTGCCGACGTATGGTTACCGTATCCGGTTGGATACATAACTCGCGGCGGCATCATGAAGGAGAGCTCTGAGGAGCAAAGCCCGTTGGTGTAGCGGTAGAAAAGTGCTAAAACGCCGTCGGCCCGCTGGTGCAAAAGGGATACTGTCCGTTAGAGAATAGTCATCGATCAGTCGGCCAGCCCCTCTCTAAAATACATCGAGCACGGATAATGTGATTGGGCCCGCAGCACCCAAACATATGAGCAGTACTCGAGGCTAGGACTTATCTGGACCTTGTACAGAGCTAGAATTCTATGAAGAAAAGTACTTAGCCCTTAATAAATAGCCAAACTTCGTATACACGTATACAATGTATATAATATATACAATAGCACAATAGCAAATCATAGTTCAACTACTAGCATATTATGCTGGCGAAAGTCCCTTTGCCTTTTAGATTTCCATGTGTACGAGAGAGAGAGGGGTACCACTTGTGTAGAAAGAGTGCGCCACACACCACGTTGCCTGGCACAACAGTGCTGAAGGCCACATAACAGAACTGTAACTTGCTGCAACGCCTTGTTTCACACGCTCAAATACAAAATTTCGATCCTAATGGTTCTCCGATTTTAGGTGGAACTGAAAGTTCAGGATAGATACAAATTCTGCAACATTGCATTACTGGTTTGACTGTGGAAGCAGTTTATAAATAATGAAAAAATATGTGATATTTATTTATATTCGTATACAAAGATATAGTTTTAAATAAATTAAGAACAACAAATTAACCCTAGTTCATCGATTTCTTTGTTCTTGGAGTGTCCAACCATATTTTTTTTTTAAGTTGTCGGTTCACTGTGTACCAACTTTCTGACGTTAGCGAATAAACCTAACCTCACTTATGCTCTTCTATACATCGTCTTCATCATTGTATACATTGTATTCATTGTATACGCTATGTATAGAATGTATTCACTGTATACGCATTGTATAACATCGAGACGTAGACAATTAATGTATACGGGTATACGCGTAAACGCCCATCACTGCTTATAGATAGTGTTAGAGAAATTACAGCCATATCGAGCGATTTTCTTGGTATGATTTCTAGCCTAATTTCCGTACCTGTTTTTCCAGTTACGAATGTTACCGTGTCTGTGGCTATAGGAGGTCAAAAACAGAGGGTTACGAAACAGTTTTTATTACCCATTAAAAGTCAAGATAGTCGTATAAAGATGCAGTACCTAGTTATTCGTGTAAGCATATGAAATATCTCAAACACATTTTGAAGGGGAGAATTTTTTCCAGAAGGTTCACCTGGTTAGTGTCACTCAGCACCATGGCCCTTAAGCCTGTTCCATTCCCCCTCTGAGTACTTGTTCCCAAGATAAACATTCTTAAAAACGCAGGTGGGTGTCGCATCTCAGATCAAATAGTGCGCGGAAGTGAAGCTAATTACAGTGTAGCTCTGCTATTAGATATAGTGTTTTGGTTACCAGAAAGGTGAGCAATCACTAAATATTTCCTTTATTCTGCTGTACTGTGTGGATTTATAACTATAATACTTTTATATTCATGATACATGAATATCGTAAGCTATATTGATAAAGATGTGTTGATCATATATCCATATTTCTAATTCTATTCTGAGGGTTGTTATGGGACTTTCGGAGCCCGATTACTAGGTTCAGGTGGTTATGTCAATTACTGCTCGGTATCCTCTATCAGGAAAAATGTCGGAGCGCTTGGGATGTTGACACGATGTGTCATCCTAGGTCTGAATGGCCGCTTAACTATCATCTCTTGACAATCGCTGGAATCTGAATGAATCTCATGGCAGGATGTGTATGGGGATTGTACTTTAAAGATTGTCATCTTGCTCGGTCATCTCTAATTAAGAGGTAACGTCAGAGCCTTTAGGTATTGACACGGCAACGTGGTATAGTGGATCCTGCTTTACGTAACAATCGTTAAACTCAGGATATCTGTCTATACACCTGGGCATCAACATAGGCTGCTTTGTGCTTAAATCCTATGTTGAACACATAGTCTGCTGTGTGCTTAAATCGCCTACTAAGTGAAGGACTATGTGTCCCTGGGAGCTGTGTGTCCCCGCTCTTAAGGTCTGCGGACAAGAATATGATAAATTATAAATTAATAATGATCGTTTAGTACCGCTGCGTATAATTAACGTAATCCTAAAGTAGTAGAGCTGTGCATGTTATGAGTCGGTCGAATATGGGAGGTACTCAAATCATTTTTATAAAAATCCGACAATCCGATCATATCGCCCTTATCGCTTGCCACAGACCGGTGTAAAGCTAGCAGCCAAATTCCAGCAGACAATTTACCGAAGGTGCCCGAAGGAACAGTAGCGTCGTTCCAGAAAGAATAATATGCTCTTATAACACTGTTTAGTGTATACATACAAAATACAAGCAGGAACAATCACAGCCAGTAGCTGAGATAAATTCTAACCGGTGTGAAGTTGGTAGACAAAATTTAGCGGACAATTTGCCGAAGATACCCGAATGAGCAGTGGCGTCGACATCCTCGACCAGACTGTGATTCTGAAGGATACAGCTAACAGCTCGCAACAATAAATATGTATGCTCGAGAATAAGCACCCCTATAGGAATAATCATTTACCACCCTAATTAAATAATTCGCAGGAACAAGAGTTAACCCAAAACCTTTCTACGAATTTTTACTTACCGATTACTGTATATATGGTATTTAAAGTAATTAATAAGCTAAATAGCATATACTGAGAAATTCTCTAAAGGGGTGCTAGATGAAAAAATATAAATAAAACTTCATTTTCACCCCCAAAAAAATGTTTCCCCAAAATGATTTACATCTCAAAAAAATACTCTATTACAGAGACAATTCATGGGCTAGGTGGCATGGTGTCAGAAAGCTTCTGAAAGGCTGGCAGATAAAAAAATATGTTTATAAATTCATTTTCACCCCCAAGGAAATGATTCCCCAAAATCAGTTATACCTCAAAAAAATACTCTTTTATAGAGACAACTTATAGGTTAGGTGGTATGATGTGAGAAAGCTTCTGAAAGGCTGGCAGATAAAAAAATATGCTAAAAAATTCATTTTCACCCCCAAGGAAATGGTTCCCCAAAATCAGTTGTACCTCAAAATAATACTCCATTATAGAGACAATTTATAGGCTGGGTGGCATGGTGTGAGAAAGCTTCTGAAAGGCTGGCAGATAAAAACATATGCTAAAAAATTCAGTTTCACCCCCAAGGAAATGATTCCCCAAAATCAGTTGTACCTCAAAAAAATACTCTATTATAGAGACAATTTATACGCTAGGTAGCATGGTGTGAGAAAGCTTCTGAAAGGCTGGCAGATAAAAAAATATGCTAAAAAATTCATTTTTACCCCCAAGGAAATGATTCCCCAAAATCAGTTGTACCTCAAAAAAATACTCTATTATAGAGACAATTTATAGGCTGGGTGGCATGGTGTGAGAAAGCTTCTGAAAGGTTGGCAGATAAAAAAATATGCCAAAAAATTCATTTTCACCCCCAAGGAAATGATTCCCCAAAATCACTTGTACCTCAAAAAAATACTCTATTATGGAGACTATTTATAGGCTAGGTGGCATGGTGTGAGAAAGCTTCTGAAAGGTTGGCAGATAAAAAAATATGCAAAAAAAAATCATTTTTACTCCCAAGGAAATGATTCCCCAAAATCAGTCGTACCTCAAAAAATACTCTATTAGAGAGACAATTTATAAGCTAGGTGGCATGGTGTGAGAAAGCGTCTGAAGGGCTGGCAGATCAAAAAATATGCTATAAAATTCATTTTCAACCCCAAGGAAATGATTCCCAAAATCAGTTGTACCTCAAAAAGATACTCTATGATAGAGACT